AATAAACATGTTTATAAAAATCAGCAGCGATCTCATATGCTCCCACTTTGACAAATTCTTATCACAAAAAATGCTCTCTATCCACGGCCCGTACTTTACTGAGAAAAAGCCAAAGCTCCATCAGTTAATAACCAACTTCTTCTACAATTCCATCCATCCATCTTCTTCCCCTTAATCCATTTCTGGGTTGGGGGGGTGGCGCAGCTACAAATACAGCAGCAAATGTCTCTATCACCTGCAGAGTTATTTTTGTGGCCAATTCTTCTTTGCATAGCAGTTCATTCATCAAGTCAACAACCCTGAAAATAGTCGTGGCCAGTAAATAGCCACACATTCAAGGTAAAAAATCTAAATAAGTTGAATCAATCTTCTACCTATTCCAAAAGAGAAAATGAATTGTATCAAACTGCTTTGAAAATCATCAAAGTCATTTCTCTTTCCAACAGCAGCGTAAAAGTCCTATTTACAGTCTTTTTCAAAATTACCATAATTGCCTCCAAACGGGTGACACTTTGACAATAATGGATGCTGAATCTTCACGTCAACGCTGCAAACTATTCTCCCTGCATATCAAAAAGATGATTTATATCCATTTATGCCGTCTTTTCCACCACTGAATCCAAAATGAGAGCTTCCTGTGAGGACAGTGCACATTTACTACAGGTGTGCCACAACAAAGACTTTAGGAAAATTTGGATGGATGACGATTTGACGAATGAGTAAAGAAGAGTGAGTGAGGAATCTTGCCTGTCTAATGCCGCTTACAAATATGCAGCGGTGATAGTGGTGGTGGAAGGGGGGGGGTGGGTAGTCTCCAACTGTGTGACTGGCACTTTCCAAGGCGGGCTTAGCATGTGTGACATTTAACGTTGGATACACTTCTATGGCGGTGGAGAAAAGGGGGCACAGCAACAGAGTTTACGGAAAATGCCACTGTCAGTTGGATAAAGGGGTTGTGCGGTTTCAGCAATGTCAATATGTCGACACTGTGATGTTATAGCAGCCCATTGTGTAAAAACTGAATGAATAAATTACATTATAGATATGCTCCCTTCTTTTTAGACAGTCAAATTCATGATAGCCGTTTTGGTTGATTTTCAAACCAGATGCGGTTCTTGCAGCTTGCTCTGTGACTATCACCAAACTGTGAAGTGCTTTGTGTGACGATGGTCCGTGAAATGCGATATATAAATAAAATTGACTTACTTACTTATTATAATCCTCTATTTGCGTCAGCACAGACTTGGCCAAGTTCAGATATTTTTGAAATGGTATGTCATCTCGGGCATGGACACAATAATTGGGTGAAACAAGGCAGATTTTTTTAGGGAAGATTGGATCCTTGATTTTCATGGTCATATTGCAGCAGAGTTCCGGCTTTGGACAAATCCAGACAAAGACTGTGTTGTTTATGTTGAGAAGTATTTCAAGCATTGTTGACGTCACAATTCTGCCCTCAATATAAATCCACTCTTTCATTTCAATGGGAAATCATGCAACATCAAGTCAATGTTCAAAGTTAAGAAAAGTTATTATTTATCATCCCCGTAGGGAAATTTGTCCTCTGCATTTGTTCCATTTAAATCAAACAAGGCCTTTGTCAGGAGCGGTGGTCGCCACAGTCCAGCGCCTGAGGACCAAAAGCCAGATGTTCAAGGAGGATTTTTCCTATTGTAAATTGTTTCTTATGGTAGGGGAAATCGGAGCACCCTCAGGAAACATATGCAGGCACAGGGAGAGCATGCAAACTCCACTCAAAGGCCCATTGAGAGAGAGTGCGAACCAATCAGCACCGAGCGACATGTTCATTCTATTTAATCCAACATTGGTGAGTAGAGAAACCAAACAGATTCATGTTTTTTCGTTTACATTTAAATAAATAAACTTCTCTTTACACAACTCCATGTGATTGATGTTTTGCCACACATTCCATTCATTTGACCCATTTAAATGTAGCTTAAGCAGAAATTCAGAATGGAAGACAAGATAAGTAAACTCACAGCTCTCAAAATCCTCCTGTCAATCACACTCAGCTGCAGCTCCTCACGCAAATCCTCATCTGCAGCAATCAGGAACTGCCCGCATCAGCTTCATATTGTGCAGAAGCTCCATCCAAGCAGCAGCTTCATTCACGCCGCAACCCTCCTCCTCCCCATCTCCGCCTCATTCTAGTCCAGCTCCTTCATCCTTCTCCTAGCTACCACCACCAGGGTCTAGGCCTCGGAGGATTTCATCTCATAATCTCGTTCCCCTTCCTAACTACATCCTTCCACAATAAATGTAATCTTGAAAATATTACATTTCATAGTCATATGGTTGATCTATGTAGTGTCAGATTACTTGCCAAACGACATACAATTCTTATACCCATGTTTTGTCTGTTCGAGTCTCTCCAGATTGAATTAAGTAGACCCCATGCGATCCTATTCTATTTGTGTGCCTAATTGTGTGGCAATTAAATCTCGTGACCCAGCACCACAAACAGTGAACTTCTGACCTGAAGGCAAATGTATAAGTACTCACTATTCATTCATTCTGAGAAGCAAATATTTCCATTTTGCTTCAGACACACCACTGCTTGCTGTAATTAGTTGGCCATGGTAATGACAAAAGACAGTACTTATTTATTTAGTTATACATCTAAGTATAACCCCATTGAGATGAATCACCTCTTTTTCAAGGGGGAGCTTTATATAATTAGATATTTGTGTTGCTCTATAAAAGTTGCTGACAAAATAGTTTTCAGTCCGTGTCTGAACAGTGATTCAGTGCAGTTTGTGCGTCACATAGACAGTAAACGGGTGGATGATGCTCTAGCCCCCTAGCTCAACAAAGCCCAATGGGGAAGTGCTCCAAGACAACGTTTTTTCTCCTACTCGCTGAGGCTGCTATGGGCTTACGATGAGGTGTGAGCTCCTCCTGCTCAATAATTGTTCATGTCACACTCACCATTTTTGGTTCAGCTCTTCTCTTTGATCCTGGTGTTTATATTGTGATTTTGTCTTTCTAAATCCAGATAAGAGCCCAAACAACTGACCAATCAGGAGCCTTCTGTTGCCAATTTCAGCTTTAACAAACAAGTAGTGCAAGGGAAGACAGACCACATACATTTGGCTCTACTTTATCGTAGCCTGTTCGAGTTAGATCTATCGACCTCTCCCACATTAAGACTAACATATGATGCCAGCACTCAGTCAGTCCACTCCTGGCATACGGTCTACGGGTACTAAAACTTTTAAGAACTTGTCTAAATATTGAATGTCAATAGCTTTGAAATAATTTACAGTATTTGTATATTTAAATTTTGTTATAGGAATAAGTATTTTAAGCATATGACCCTTCATTTAAATCAAATAATTGTCTTTGTTTTTTTATTTATTTACATATGTAAGCACTACCTCCTCTTGACATAACCACCACCAGTAATATTTTCTGGAGGAGAATCGTTAGACCAATTGTGATGGGCCTCAGCCATCAAATCAGAAAGTTTGTGGAGGCGGGTCTAACTGAAACTGAAAAATAAGAATTAAAAAAATCTTTCCATTTTAAAACTGTGAAAAATAACTAACCTTTATTTAAAATATTGAAAATTGCTACCTTTACAACTTTTCATTTTTCCACCCCTGTTTTTATTCACACAATGCACTTGACTCGTTTCAAGGTGCTACACGATCCATTAGTGCCCTTAATGTGCTGTTAATTACAAACATACTAATGTAACTAATTAAAACTGGATCATTTACAGGGTACTGTCTCCCTCCTGAATGAGCACGGGATTAAAACACCCATCTTTTGTCAACCTTGTGGCAAATAAAGCCATTGCCAAGTGTAACCATTCACCAGACCCCCCACCGCGCCACACAGAACAAAATAACAATTACATCACAGATCAGTGGAGGCTGATTCAGGGAGCAGAGACGCTGGAGGAACAGAGACCACCCTTTCTCAGCAGGGCACCAGTTCAGACGCATTAAGGAGAAGTTTGATCAATGCATGATTCAATTGAAACATCACTTCAATGATCTCCTGTGAAGACGAAACGTTTCAGGCAGAGAAGGACGGTGCGAGAATACACAAAGTCCTGTGAAGGTACTGTTCTGGCTCATGAACCTCTACTAAGGCTTTACAATTATGATGTGCATTTGTCATAAATGAGCGGCACAGTGGCTCAATGGAGAGCACTCTCGCTTCTTAGCAAGAATGTCCTGGGCTTGAATCCCGGTCGGACCAGGGTCTTTCTGAGTGGTGTTTGCATGTTTTCCCCGTGCCTGCGTAAGTTTCCTCTGGGTGCTCCGGTTTCCCCTACCACTAAAAACATGCACAGTAGGTAAAATCCTGGTCCTGACCAAGCAGAGCATCAACTTCTGGAGATGGGCTCCTGGGCACTGTTACTACGGCGAGAAGATCAGGAATACTTTTTGTGCTATTTAACACATGTTGATTTAATTTTATTTGTATCCATTTATTTATTTCAGGCAAAACAGGAGAAACCCAGTTGTTTCAAACAAACAAAAAATACCTATAACAACATTAAAAAACATAAGAATGAATTTTCATTGCTAAGGCTGCGTTTATAAGGCTGTTTCATTTATTATTGTGATATTATTTTTCAACACTGAAATTTCCCCACTGTGAGACGATCTCTTAATCTAACCATAATTTTTCTCATCAGTTTCAGATGGTGGTCTGCCATGTGATTGTTTGCAATGAAAAAAGTGCACCACCGCTCATAAAGGTTGGGTAACACTGGCATAAAAAAATCTACTCAAAGGTCTAAGCAAATCTGAGATATAATGCACCTCTAATCAAAATGCTAATTCCAGCTAAATCTATTTTAATTGTAGGCCCTAGAACTGAGCCAGAACTATGGTGCTTCAAAGACACACAAACAGGCGGCAACTGTTAAACATAGACGGCATTCATTTTATGTTGTATAATAATTTGTTATCTTGTCTCGGCATCAAAACGCACACGCATATCAGAATACGCCACGTGTGCAGATGTCTGTAGGGGGTGAAGTGAGCGAAGGGGGAGCAGGGAGAGAGATGAATGTGCTGTTCGGACCGGGCAGGACTATGGACGGACAGATGGATAATGGCCACTGCGATTACAGGACGTCCATAGATCTCTTCTTCCTCACCGCAGACCGGAACATCCTCAGCATCTGCGACATGATCCGAGGCCGGACTTTCATCTCCAGACTCGAGCACAGTCCCTTATCGGACCCCAGGAAGGAGAACGAAGAAGGCGTGCTAGTTTGGCGCATGTAATTGTTAATACAGTGTCATTAAATCTGTGTCCGCCATGTTGCTTCCAATTCAATTCAGGCCGTTAATAGACCGAGCGGCGCCATTCTCCCACTGCCAGCGCCTCACAATGATCCAGTGTTTGTTTTGAGTTGGTGTTTGCAAACTGTATAGGCAGAGATTATCCCCCTGCTGGTCCCATTTACATGAAGACTGCAAAATCCATGTGGTGGGGGGGAAGCCTTTAATTTAAGCTAATAAAAATGAAACTGTATTGAAAGTCTATCTAACTGCTGTAAGTCCATTTGTTCACATCTTTAGATCATCTATTTCAGACAGAAAAGGGAAAAAGAAAGGACTGCCCTCACTCAGCCAAATCAGACAAGGCTCTTTCTTACAGTTTTCTTAATCTTACTAGCTATGGATCCTATGCCTGAATAAGGGTCCTTAATAAAGTTTAAATAAATAAATAAATAAAGTATGCAAAATATATTTAGATGAAGACAGCATGAATCAAAAATATAGGTACTCCAGGTTTAGGAGTCATAATAAGGTTATTTTATGGATACATTTGTATTAAATAACATAATAACATGTGCCTTTTCATACAGTATCTATTGATCGATCTCTCTATCTACCTGTAGATGTCTGCCTGCTGCTCTGTCTATTAAAGGACACCAGAGCCAATGGCATATATATCGGCACAAACACAACAATTAAATACTGTATTGTAATTAAAATTGGAGCTGATAAAGCAAAACTGGAGCACCCTCATAACAGCGTTCTCCTGAATCTAGACCCACTTGTGATCCTCTCCGAGCTTGTACAATGGGAAATACTTACAATCATTCACATTTGTAATGTGATCGTCACAGTGCAACACGGCAAACAGACCTTGTTTACAGATGTATGTTCCTTTTAGGTGAAAATTCCTCCTCAGACTGAACACGGGCTGCCTGCCTCGGTCCCTCTGTACATTGTCCCTCTGCTGCGATACGTTAAAATCAGGCCGATTCAGTGGAGCGGAGAGGTGAGCGCGAGTTCAACGCTTCATAATCACAGTTCAGACCAAGTTTTGTCCAAGGCTCCGAGTCACAAGTGAGGGTGAGACTGCGGGAAGTCCACAGCATGACCACTGCAGACTGGCCTTGTACAGTACGAGGCCACCACTAGAAGTGTTTAACATAAAATCCATTGGAGTTGAAGGAAAATGTCCTCTAAAGCAAATCTCAAGTTGATTTGTGATTCTCGATAACAAGGAATACATTGACTACAGCAACATTGGTTTTGCTATATTTTTTTAATAACACATTATAATCACTTAGAAATGTAGCTATCAGATGTCAAGAATGGCTAATTTATAATCATTAAGTCATTTTATAATAATATGAATATACAGTATGACGTATACACTGTACTGTATGTGAATATATGTAAAAGCACAACGAGCAAAGTTTACTTACTGTATATACATTATAAAACTATGTCTCATCTCCAATTTATCTAATACATGTAAATAATTCTATTGGGTCTAACAAAATTATTAAAATAAAATTGTCCACTCACCTTTGGCCCTCCGTGGGCGTTTATCCCTCTCTAAGCTCGGGTCCTCTACCAGAGGCCTGGGAGCTTGAGGGTTCTGCGCAGTATCTTTGCTGTTCCTAGCACTGCACATTTCTAGACCGAGATGTCCGAGGTTGTTCCGGGGATCCGCTGTAACCACTCTTCTAGCTTCGGGGTCACTGCCCCGAGTGCACCGATCACCACGGGCACTACTGTCACCTTTACCCTCCAGGCCCTCTCCAGCTCCTCTCTGAGACCTTGGTATTTCTCAAGCTTATATATATATATATATACAGTATATATATATATACAGTATATATACTTACTTTATGCTTAAATAAAAACTTGCCTCCAAACACAATGTCATTTGGATATCGATTTGTCAAAATATTTACAATGGATGCTCGATTTAAAGCTGGGATACCTCATTTTTGTTAAATATCTGCACAACAGCTGCAAATCATAAATGTATCACAGATTATGAAGAAAAAGCTCAAATGTTTCAACTTGTTGGGTCTGAGGACAGCAGTGATCTGGGACATTTAGAGACATTTCTTAACATTCATGGACATTGGTCGTCCTGCTCCCTGTGGAGTTGAAGAAAAGAACTGTGCATGCTGAATTTGTTCAAAGGGTTTATTTCTGCACACCGTCTTTCTTGCAAAATAAACATTTATTAGAGATGCAACGTTTTCGCAAATTCAATCAATTCTTATTTTGCGAGTTAAGCCTGGTTCACACGGCAGGATATTTAGGCCGATTTAGACCCGATTTACCCCTTACGACAATCTTAAGAAACGCTCCGATTTCCGTAACAAAATCTTACAGATTATCCTGCCGTGTGTGGTGTGTTAAGACTGCACTCGTCGCTCGGAAGGACATCGGGACTGCTCCCGATCTCAAATCGGGGATATCCAACATGTTGGATTGTTTTGGCCCGATTTCTCTTCGTGTGTGGTGTCCCCCGAGGACAGACGTGCGCGTTGCCATGACTGCTGCGTGTAGCCAATCAGAAGACGAGACGAGGCGGTGAGGAAACGCCTCCATATCACGATGTAGCAAGTATAGTCCATGCTCGTGTTGTCTACACTTCTTTGACCATCGCCTTTTCTTTTGATTACGTCTTTTCTCCGATAAAAACAAACTATCGCCAATGCATCCTCTTCGTCCGCCATGTGTGTTTACTCTGAAGTCGCGCTTGATCTCGCGAGACCTGAGATTTCCGTCTGATCTGTGAATACTCGGGGGGGGGGGGGGGTTTGCGTGATTTTTGCCGTGTGGCTGCGCACCACACACTGTACGACCAAAGTGGTTAGACCCGTGATTTTTTATCTCCCTGTGTGGGGTCTCACACAGAGAAAAATCGGCCGACAATTTTAAAATCGTCTCGTGTGAACCAGGCTTAAGACAAAAGTCCTTTTGATTCAACTACAGGCGGTGCAGGTCTCTCTCCAACAAACTCCATCTGGAATAAGTGATGTGCAAATTTCTTCAAAAACAAATTCAAATAGGAAAAGGTTTGACTTTAGCACCGCGTAGCCCGTAGCACCCCGTTACCAATAGCAACGTTGACAACACAGAGTTTATGACGGGGAACCGACATGAAACTATGATATTATGGTTATGGAAACTGAAGAAATTCATGAAGGAATAGATTATAATTTGTTCTCATATATTTTGCTTTATGGTTTTATTCTTTCCTTCTCCAACATCCCTGTGGAGTCTGCCTTTTCTACTACATTTTCTTTGGGATAGAAAAGAGACACTTCTGGTTTTAAACTTGTTTTTATGTCTTGTCTTAAATGTGTTGTCTTGTTCTTGTTTGAACGGCTGTGTGTATGGATTTATGTGATGTGAGTCTGGTATGAAATTTTGTATGAGAATTGTCGTTTGCATTCTAATTTAATTGTTTTACCTAATCTCCTATCTTTGTATAAGAGTAGTAATAACAAAGAATGGTGATTAACAAAAATCCGGTTTAGCGCGTAGCCGACCGCCTGTTGTTTTTGGCTGTTTGAATATGGACGCAAACCCGATACGTCTATACCGTTTTCTATAGGCTCAACTTGTAGCGAATCTCCTCTTGGCCCATACGAGGTTTGGCATGTATTCTTTTGTCCAAATGCAAACAAGTGAGAGTTAATCTAACAAATGGCTGTCAGTGGCTGATACCGGAGAGGCAGCGCTCTGAATAATGGATCAGTCCATCTGTGGCTTTAATGGCAGCGTCGGCCAAAGCGGTGCGTGATGAACTCCTTTGTTGATTGAAGTTAGCACGTAGCACTTTGCTCCATGTAGAAGCTCCGTGTTAAAGGCTACACACCCGCTAACGCAAATAATAAAGTGCACGCAAAACTCACTTGGACTTCGGAGGTGACGGTCTCTTCGAAAAGGCGATGCAAGACCGGAGAGAGGGAGCCTGGTGAACGAGAAGGATTTGGAGGTTTAGTCTACTTAAAAGAAATGTGCCAGAGAGAAATGGATTTTCCTTGAGCGCTTGAGAAGTGGAGCAATTTTATAGGGCTGTGATATACTGCAACAAAGAAGGTACATGTTGAACGATTTACTTGACAATTCATCTTTCTGTGCATAAGAAACGTTCCATCTGTACTTGCTTTAAAAAGAATGACGCTGGATTACACAATACGCCCCTGCAAGCCAAGCAGAATATAGATCATTTTTTAGTATAATCATAAATCTAAGTTGCATTATAGAGTCAAACATTAGTGCTTGTTCTGGCAGGTATTTTTTTTCTCAGCACCTCTATTCCCGATATTTCTTCCCGGGTTGACAGGACTGGTCTGAGCTGGTTTGATTTGGAGAAAGTCTGTATCTCAATGCCACACACACGCACACATGCAGAATGCCTGGAGCTGCACAACATCATAAAACCAGAGCTGGTTCCAGACACAGAGAAGGGAGGAGTGGGAGATGGTGTTTCCAATAAGTGGTAGGGGAAACCGGAGCACCCGGAGGAAACCTTCAGACACAGGGAGAATATGAAAAACTCCACACAGAGACGTCTGGAGGTGATTGTTGTTTTTTGCACTGTATACAGAAAGGACAACTGTTACAAAACACGTACGCAATCAACATTAATACAAATACATACAACACAAAACTAGTACGCAAAAGGAATTAGCAATATCCAACTTTCAAAAATAGGTAAACATTTTAGATCACAGAACATTTGCTCTGTAATCCATGACATAGTTCCTAGCTCTTAAAACAATTTAGTCCAATGTATTTTGGCCTCTTACACATATTACAGATCAGCCAATCAGCTCTCAGTTCATGAAGATAAATACAATGTTTACTAATAAGATGAAGACAGCACATTGGGGATTGCTTTTTTGCCACAGCATTAAACAAGACATTTTCTATTTGGACAAAACAACAACATTTAAGAAAGTTAATTTATGGGAAACATCTAATTTTAATGATGGGTGAAGATTTTAATT